GGGGGGGGGGGGGGGGGGATTTCCCACACCTGTGTCCAAAGTCAGGTTTTTTTGTTTGTCGTGTAGACATTGACGACGAGGACAACAGCACCGCGGCAATATTCCAGGCCGTCGGGGACCTGCCGCAGGCTAACAGGGACACGCTAGCCTTTCTCATGCTGCACCTGCAGAAGTAAGGCCTGACTGCAGGAAAACACCAGAACTCAGTGAGGATCTCCGTGAGCATAGCGGGCGACAGAGCTGGCATCCGATTCATCCCTGCTTCTGTTACTGCTTGGCTAACTTCCTAGATGTCCATGTGTTTTTCTTCTTTATCGTGTCTGAATTACTGGCATAAATCTTACAGATTGAGTGAATGCATGCTTTTGAGTTACTGTTCCTCTGTTATTTCACATTCAAATCAGGTACTAGCTAAATTTATATTATAAGGCATGCATTACTGGTGTGCATGTGTGCGTGAGCTTTCTACACGCTGCAAGTTCTTGCACATGCAGGCCAGGGAATGGTGACTATTATTGTTACTAATTTTTCTGCATGACTTGCCACAGAGTTATGCGGAGCCCTCGGTGTCAGATGGGTCTGAATAACTTGTCCCGGGTATTTGGACCCACCATTGTCGGTCATGGCACCATGGAACCTTCCCCGCGGACTATCATGAAAGACACAAATGCACAGTCTAAAGTAGGTTTTCAGCTGCACTTAACTTTTTCTCCATCTGTTTTGTTGCTGCTAATTGCTTTTCTGTTCAGGATTGGCTCAGTGACCCCAAACTGTTGCTGTGCAGTATAAGTCCTTGGTTCAGAACTGAACCTTTGCTTGGCTGGCTTGACCAAGGGTGTAACTTTGGGTTGACCTTGGAGGGTGAGGTGGGGGGTTGAGGTCCAGGGGGTTGTATTGGCTGGTCATAACTTATGTCCATCATCTTCAGGGTTTTGCTTCTCATGCTATAGGTGGTGGCCCGATTACTGTCTCTTTCCACGGATTATTGGAAGCAGCTTGTGGTGGTCGAGAGGGACCAGGTCATCTCGTCAGTGATTGATGCTAACCTCAATAGCGATACGAACAACACAGACAGAGGTTGGTGTTACTCGTGCAGGATTAAATGCACATGCTGTAATTAACACGGCTTCTCTCTTTTAGACCGCCTGTTCAGACCCCTGACCTCTCCGGAGCTGAGCAAATGCCATAAGATTCCTGGCAGTGGGGCTCTCAGGGGCAAATTCAAGAACCTAGGCACTGCCTTCAATAACACGTAAGACCCTTAACAAAATATCTTCTTTGAATAAGTGGTGACAATGTAGGGAAAGCTCATAATTCAAGTTCATGGTAATGGATGCTGGTGATGTTTTCATAATCTCAATGTGGCTACTGTTGCTGTCAATCATTGCTGTAACCAATAGGAAGTTGGGTTTAAATTATATATGGGACATAATGTTCCCACCCATTATCTGAAGCCTTATTTCTTATTATGAGTGTGAAACTAACGAAATTGATCTGATCTGATGTTCACCACTGTTTTGCAGCAACGCCTGACTTCCATTAAACAAACCAACAGAAAAACATGAGTTTTCAGCACAAATTTAACTATACACCTTTTTATTCACAGAAACAAGAGCAAGATGGACATAAGCAAGAGAAAATTCTTTACATCGCCAAGCTAATTTATTTTAATCTAGTTTCAACAGACTTAATTACTATATAATGTACTATTACAGAAAAAAAGTGGATGAAAATGTTTTAAGTGTGTAGAATTGAGTATTTGGGAAATGGAGGTAATGTCAGTTTCTGAATATTATTTGGGACCATTATGTAACTGAGGTTGAATAACAGCAGTTAAATGCAGCCCACATGAAGATTAAACAGCAGAGTTGCATTTTTAACTAGATTTTGACATGAACTCCTCTAAACAGTCATATTTGACTGTAGGAAAGCACTGAACTGATTTAAAGCACTTCAAGATGAAAATAAATGAATAAAATGCATGAATATGTTTCTGTCTTGCACATGGCAGCTTTGGATTAATTAACTTCACAATGATGGTTTGGTGATGATGCTGTCAGAATTCACACTAACAGATTGTGTGGGAGAATTAATGCAGCATTAAGGAACCCTAAGTATCAGTCAGGACATTTGCACAACCTACTGTCTAAAATGAGTGTTTATGATAAAAAGACTAATGATTTTTTTATGTTATTAATTGATGAGTATTTTCAGAGTATGTAAGTTAGGCTAGATGAACGTTGCTTTGTTTGGGGTAACATAGCGAAGTGTTAGCTGTTGTGTTAATTCTAACAAGGCAGATGGTGCTACTGCAGTTGGCCAGTAAGGCAGTGTACAGACTGCTGCCTAATGCGAGTGCCCTATGGCAGTAATGCTCGGTGATTCTATACAACAAAGCAGGAGAGCGGGGTGAGGTAAAAAGGTGAAAACAGCTCTGATATCAAAGGCAAGATGGCCGGCTAAAATGGATGGGAAAGAAGCCCCTCCCTCACCTCCACCCACCCACTCACAATCATTTGCTTTAAGAAACATGAAAAACTTTAAGCCCAAATCTGATGCCTGCATTTTCCATTGCTCCAGAAGGAGATGTTTCGTATGTGCAAAAAACAAAATGAATAAAAAGGAACTCTATACATAGAAGTTTTATGTATTTAAGATTTCTAGTTGCTGCTTGGCACATTTTAAAAACGAAAAAAGAATTAACTGTGCTGGATTAAAGAAAATATTGGAAGCCATTTAAAGTTTTAAATTCATGTCCCGTGTGGCATGTAAAAAGTGATGTCATTTTGACATGAATGAGGCTGGCATCACAGAACAGTGTTTCAGGCAGCAATATTTCAAACCAAAATGTCTGGCTGTCTGGAATACAAAGTAGGAAAATCAATTTTGCACCATAAACTGCATAGAGCAACAAAATAAACACCAATTATATATGACTACAGTCCCTTACTGGCCACAACGCTTGGCTGTGCTATTCGACCTGCAACATCTGACCTTGAGTTCTCATTTTTGCCTTCTTAGAGTATGCAGTTGTCACTATGTGCATCCTGCCCTTTGCAAATAAATCGCAATGAAGGAGGAACTGTAGTTGCAAAGGATGTGGTCTCCTGGCCTAAACATTACTAGCTTTGTTCGCCTGAGGTGGGTGGCTGCTGATGTACTCTTGAGTAGGAATTTCATTTGTTGGCGCAGTAGAAAATTGGGTAAATAGTATAAGCTTTCAGAGCTGTTATCTAAGTAAAGACACAGCAAGGGGATTGGAGAACCTAGAACCAAAATCTGTTTAGTCTTTGTTTCCATGGTACCTTACATATTGACATCTGTATTTCAGAACAAAAATACCATGCAGTGGAAGTCCTAAGAATTCACTCTAAGACTGCAATTCAACTTTTGATATATCGTGATGTATATTTGTATGTGTGTTTTCAAATTAATTTTACCATGCTTGATTATACTTTGTAATTGCAACTACCTAATCATCAAATCCACTGTTAGCTTAGTAAACACTGGGCTTTGTGTGAGAAAAGAATGGCAAACGGTTTTTCAGGGGTCTTTCTCCACAGAGCACGAGTTTATGTAGTTGTACCTTCTAAAACGTTCATATAAGAAAGATGATAAAATCTGTTTCTCAACCTCCTCAAAAATGGTCTATTCTACACAAAAAAATAAGCTGCTTTCTTCATTCAAAGGGAGGATTTTCCTTTGCCGTTTCTACAGTGCTGGCTGAGGAGCTCTGAGGAATGCAAAGTACTGCTCTGGCTTCTCTAAATGAAAGCTGAGTCACTCTGATGAGTAAATATGTCCAGCCTGGGTGTGGTTATTCAAGTGCTGCAGAGAGAAGCCAAGGGAGGAGCTCTTTCCAAATATAGGTCCCTCCCTCTGGGCTGCACTGGGTGAAGTACAGTGACTAACTTCATACTTGTTACTTATAATGGCCTTATAAAAGCTTGGTCTGTTTATGATCCCGCATTGTGGCTGTAATGCAGAACCGGTCCACTAGGGTCATACCTTTAATTGCTTGTATGAATAGTATGAAAACACTCACACTCAAAACATTTTCACAAGTCATTCAACTTACTGACTGAATTTGAATTAATATTTGCAATGGTTAAGCATTAAAATATTTTTTAAAGAAATAAACCATTGCTATAGAACAAAAAAATGGAACAAAAACTTTGCAATTAACTGCTTAGGGCACGTTTGTCCTAAACAGCTATACGTGGCTTAATACTATAATTAATAATACTTGTTTAACACTTAATATTTTTGTTTATTTTTTTTATTGCAAAAGAAAAACAGTAATCTGAACAACTCTAATGATATACACTGTGTGGCGACGCTTAAATACAATATACTAAGAGGTTTTGTCGTCATCTAGTGGTAAAAAGGAGAAAGCACTTGTGGAAATTGTACAAACGCTGCCGACGCCTTGGACGATAAAAAATAACTTTCTGTTCACCGAAACATCCACTGCATTGTTTCAACGCAATAGAATGAGCCGAAAACAATGGCACACACGGACAGCCAGCTAAGTATTTCTAGAGAATTCTACAAGTTCAGTTTTAAACGTACTTACATCAGTAAGAAAAACTAACACGAGCACCGTCAAGCGACCGGAGCCCCCTGGCCTTGACCACACCTGGTATTAACATGCGTCCTGGGTGATCCGATCACAAGTGGACAGCGCTAAATACAGGTGTGAACGCACCCAAAACAGACTGAAGACGCATGGAGATCCGATTGTTCAAACCACAAGCCCCGTCCAATCAGGTGTGAAGAGAGCCTGAGAATAAAGGATGAGTCCGCGGGTGCGCGCTGTTTCGGTATCTAGGGTGGCGCCCGGGTGCGCGCACGCGCTCCACCTCCCCTCTAACATCTTGTTTAAATTCCAGGAACTGCTGGAGCGGCGTCAGGGCTGCGACGTATTTGTTGTTCGGTTTTAGAGCCAAGAAACTTCTTATTTCTTATTGCTGGCGGGTAGTTGTTGGAATTTGGAAGTTGTTTAACTATAAAGTAAGTACATACGCGTTGTCACGACTGTATTTCATGTGTATGTGCTGAGGCTTGTTGGTAAATAGTTTTCGTTTGACGCTGTTAAAGTCTTTATTTTATGTTTTTGTTTGTTTGTTGTTAACATTATTGCTACGAAGTAGATGCCGGAAACAAAGAAATTAAATCCGTCTCTGTACAGTTGTATTAGTCGATTTAGAGCATTTGATACTGTTCTCTTCGGTGCACCATAGGGATTAAGTAAGGCGGAGAATATTCGCTTTGTTTCTGTACTACTTCAATGGTTACGTTTGTGTTAATTAACTTGGTTATGCTATCGTCACTTATGTGTAGGCCTATATACATTTTATTATAATTATTTTCTATGGTTTAACTTGAAAAGAGCGGTTTATATGTAGGTAAAATTCAGATGATACACGTATTAAATCGTATCAAAGACCTTATTCATTATGAAAATTGTAATCGCATCATAACTAATAGCTTGTGCTCTGTGACAACATAAAAACTCTTTGTCAGAGAAAATTAGTTTAGAAATAGCCTGACGAGCTACCGTTACTAACTTCTGCAATAGGCCTAAAAGAGAAACTGGTGTGGCCTCTGATTAAAAAAAACCACTTGTAGCTCGCTCATCACATAGTCTGATTTTACTTTTAGGCAAACGCTAAAAGGTGAGGAAAAATCCCAAGGCGCTACCGATCGGTATTTTGTAGATGGCAACATTAAAAGCCATGCTGCTGAATGATTAGCCCCAGAATTGTCAGGCTTATATTTTTCGGTGTTGCCAAGCCAACCAAAGCAAACCATAACGTCAGCAGTACGAAAGTTATGAAACGAGCTAGAAACGTTAACTTTTGGTATGAATAATGAATTAAGCTGTGTGACAAACTAGCGAGGAGCAGGAGGTCACAGGGCTTTGACATTGTGCGATTAACGGCTTGTGTTTATATAAAGACTGATTGCGGCTCGGTGGATAGCGCTGTGTACACACTTCCGATCTGTGTGTAAATTGCACGTAGTGCATGATTGTGTGTGTGTGGGTGCGCGTTTGCACTCCACGATGGATTGGCATCCCACACGGATGGGTGTGCCCCTGCTTTGTGCACTGTGTTGCCTGGGGTAGTTCCCAGGCAACCCTAACCCAGACAAGCCGTTCAAAGTTGAATTGAGGGTTCATATCAAATGAGAACAGTCCTGTTTTATTTCAGCAGTGTCATATCTACATGTATCTTCTGCTTTGAGCTAGCTCATGATTAAATACACTTTCTGCAGAATGTTTATTGGGAATGTGGTTCAATGGATGCAAAATATTTCTAAAGTTGATCAGTTCACACAAAGAGATGGAACATTACATTTAGCTAAAATATGGAGGCAAAGCAGCAGAATCCTTTGTTTTTGCCTCTGAACCGGAAAGACGGGTTTAAACCTGTGGCTGACATCACTGGTGATTAAGCTGCTCCTCCTTTAAAAAAGGAACTCTTTTAGATCTTGCTAGCAAAAAAGCACCTGGCGTATTTGAATTTCCAGTTTGGCTTATGCCTGTCCACAGGACTGATGGAATGATGCAATTCCAATTTTTGTAATGAATAAGGTCTTTGATAGGATTTAATACAAGTGTATCATTTGAATTTTACCTACACCACACTGGGGTGTTTTTGTGTTAATAATGATGATGTTGCAGTGTGACATTTTGCGACAGATGTGTGACTTCAAGCACAAACAAAAATCGACCAATTTTCTGTCATCCCAATGAATGGGTCATACATTGAGATGAAATAGAATAATAAATTAGAATATAAATATGTAAGATGTAAACACAGGGTTATTCAAATCACGGTCCTCGAGGTCCGAGCACTGCTGGTTTTCCAGCCTTCCTTTACCTGTGAGTCAGGTGTGAAGCCTCTGACCAATCAGAATCAGTAATTATTAAACTAACTACCTGGGAGAACAAGGTAAAACAAGAAAACAAGGCCTGGATTTGGAATCGAGGTCCAGATTTAAAGAACCTTGTGTAAACATAAAGATGGTAATGCATAAGAACAGAGGTGGATAGTTCAGGTCCAGAAAGCAATAATCCAGGTCGTTTTTGTTTCAACCAACCAGTTCAGTACACTGACATTTTTACTTAACTGATTCATTGAAGCAAAATATTTGGTCTGGACTATCTGCCTCTGCATAAAGCAGTAAAATCTAGACAGTTAAACACCCAGTTAGGTGGCTCAACTGAATATATGCAGCTGTATGACTGATTACTTTTTTTTTTTTTGCAGGTGTGCCCAAATCAAAATGTCACGCTCCGACTTCCCGCCCTCCTACGATGAATCAAAAAATCCTCTTAATTCACCTCAGGGACGGAATGACTATCCGCCACCAGGTTATGGACTACCACCATATGGGGGTCCAACTGCACCAGGAGGCTACCCCCCTGGGCCTCAATTGGGCCCCCAGCCTGGATATCCTGCCATGTATCCCCCCGGAGGACAGCCAGCCCCAGGCTATCCCGGCCAGGGTTTTCCGGCAATGCCCATCATGCCTCCCGTCTTGCCTCCTGTGCTTCCGATCAACCAGCCGGACTCAGGTGATAATTATACCACTAGCATTGTTGACTGTTGCCCTCTTGCATCATTTCATGAGGTCGGCGTTAGTGCTGGGCGGTATACCGGTTCATACCGAAAACTGTTTTTTGTTATTGTTATGATATGAATTTTTCTTATACCGGTTCACACAACGTTCGAAAAGTGGCGCAGCTAGAAATTGTTTAAGGGGTGACCTTTTTCACTGCTGCACTGCTAAAAATGTCCCGCGAAAGATCATAAACGGAAGATATAGCTGACGCAGAAGTTGAAAATAATGAGACACTGGGGTTGTCAAAAATCGATTCTTGGATACTAATCCATATAAAAAAATGAGTATCTCATTAGATACTCATTTTCACCATTATTGATACCAACAGTGTGCTTTTCGCCTCATTCGCCACACTTCACACAGCACCACTACAGCACAGGCGCGTGTGCATGCACGCACACACTCGCACAGCCCCTCCCCTCCTCTCAAAAGCTGCTCAGCGCATTCGCGCTGGTTAACTCGCACGTACCGAGTTGGCCGACATGGCGCATGTTGCAGTTGAAGGCACTTCACAAGCTGCTTTAGTGAAAAGGGGAAAAAAAAAAAACGCAAAAGTGCCATTTGGAAGTATTTTGCAGACGAGCATGGAAAGGCTAAGGATGTCGATAAGCTTCTATACAAACAGTGCTACAAAATTGTGGCGACAAAGTCAAGTAGCACGTCAAACCTGGCGAAGCATCTTAAAGATCAACATCCCGGTCTTTATGACATATTTTGCAAGGTCAGTAAAGCTCACATTCCAGCAACACTGAAGTATTAAACACTTATCAAAAATGTTTACTTGGCCGGCGCACACCTTAACATTAGCTGTTTATTTTATTTTATTTATCCTTTATTTTATCAGGAAGGTTCCACTGAGATACAGTATCTCTTCTTCCAGGACGAAGATGGCAACAAATAAGAAAAATTAGACAAAAGCTTCATATACATACAGATTAATATAAATACAAGCTAAAACGTATGCAAATACTTAAACTCTCCAAAAATACCTAGAATAAAATTGATTTATATGAAACAATGACGCTGTTCTTTAAGCTCAGAGTTTGAGATTTTTAAACACATTCAGAAAAGGCAAGGAGTCTAAATTCAATATATTTTGTAATATGTTCAACTCATGTGGTTCATAAGAACAAAAGGCAGGTTTCCTCAGTTCTGTGCGTGTGGTGGGAGGCTGAAGGAGAAGTTTAACTGATGAACGGGTTCTGTATGTATTAGTGCGGAATATCAGCAAACTACATATGTACTGAGGTAATTTACCCAGTAAAGCTTTTGCAGTAAAAACCAGGCAATACATCTTCCTTCTAAGAAAAGGAAATCTATAAGCCGTTAGCCAACAAACACGTTAGCTGTCTGTTATCATTAAGGTAGTTGATAGGCGCAGTGATTAACAATAAAATAATATAGTTAATGTGGAAATAATACAAAAACGTAAAACAAAAATGTGTACTGTAAAATCCTGTAAAATGTGGTAAACGCCCAGTCATACTAAAAAAAAATTACTGTTGTATATTGTGAAACCGTGATATAATAAATACCGTGATATAAATTTTTGGTCCTACTGCTTCGGCTCTAGTCGGCATTTAACGTTCTGTTAAATTCTGCATTTCAGAGTTGCTTGATTTGGGAAACGTTTCCTCCCTCCACTTGGTTCACTTCTGTTTTTATTGCTGTAGTGCTGCCACCATTGTTGGGTCAAATGAATGCCCTTTATGCACTTTCATGCCAAGCAAGAAAGACAAATTAGGCTGAAGCAGCCGACATTCATTTGTTTTTTCCGTCAAAGTAACAAAGTGCAGCATCGACTTATACCTGGATTTTCATTTCATACATTTTATAGTAGCAGCCAGAGGTAGATGTGTAAATTATTAAGGGTTGTAACCTTCAGACATGAATCACTTTTGATTTTAGGACAGACCATAATAGGTGTGGCGTAGGACGTAAACTGTGGACACATCTGGCAGATGACCTAGGGCCTTCAGGGTGGCTGTTCTTAAATTACAAAGCCTATGAAAATAGTGTCAAGTAGTTATGGGGGTGGTGCTTTGGGCTGAACTTATTTCTGGGCAACTAGGCACAGCCTGACAGTCTCTGGACCAGGTCCTTATTCTGGCCGGTTTGAGGTAACTGTGGGGCCTCTTCCTCATTTCAGGATGACATGCTTATCAGAATTAGTCTCTCTTCTGCTGCCAACCGCCAGACCAGGAGACCGAGGAGTGTAACGGTACACATATTAATACCGAAGATTTTCAGTACAGTACGCATATGTACTGAACGAATGCAGCAAATGCGGAACCTTTGTGTTATTCCCCCGAGCAACATTTGGAAAGGGGCGGATGAAGCTCCGCCACTATAATGTATGCGCACGTATGTCCTAATGTGAAGCTGGAAGTTGTTAATGTGAATACAAGTACAGCTCAGGTATTTTAAGTGCTGCACCATAATGGATATTTATCCTGTTATACTATGTGTTTTTTGAGACAATATTTATGTTGCACAGTTCAAATATGAAGTTGAAAGCTGCTAATGTGAATACAGTACAGATCAGGTACAGTTAATTTTCTTAATGTGCGCCTTAATGGATATTTTATTTTTATTTACTTGAGAGAATATTTATTTTGATTTACTTCTAAGTAAATTATAGCTTATTAGTTGCTCGCAGCGGTGTTGACAAGGATTTTTTTAGACAGTCATACTTTGTTCAATAAACCACTGTTTAATAAAGAGAGAAAGCAATTTGTTTTCTTTTAGCGCTAATGTACCGAAAACTTACTGAACCGTGACTTAAGAACCGTGGTATGTACCGAACTGTGTACCGTTACACCCCTAATTGGTGGCAGGTAAAAACTCTCACGATTCCATTTAGACTTGTTTGGTGCTGAGGTATCACCCGCCACATGGCCGCACTCCGGTTTCCATCCCTGGGGTGGTTTGTCGCGTGGTGAGTGCAGCAACACGCTGTAATCAGTGCTCACTCCTTACCTCCTCGGTCTCTCTTGCACTTTTCTCTTAATCTGTTTGTTTATTCATTTATCTGATGCTTTTATCTAAAGAAATTTACAGTAGAGGGACAGGTTACAATTTGTGTGGTCCTGGGACTTTTGCATTCTCCATGGGAATGATTAGGAGTGACAGATGCGTCTATGAATAGGCCTTTTTCAGGATTCTTGCACATTTAATTGGTCCTGATTGAGTGGGGGGTGTCAGTTCATGATGACATGACCAATGGATTCATGACGTGGGTCATACTTCAAAAGACTCCAGTGAATTGGAGATAATCGTATTTGTATATCCAACTGTTCAAACTTCAAAGAGGAAAATGTGTAGATTCTGTAAGAGTCTAGTCAGCTGTGTGACATCACGGAATTTAATGAGTCAGGAAGAGCAACAAATTTGTCGACCGCAATCTGTTAACCCGGTGATCCAAAACAGACAAGAACCTAATTTCAGTCTGGGATCATCTACAGAAAGATCGTCACAGAAAAGCAAACTTGTGTGGCACTTTCTCAGGTGACTCGATTATGGAAAAACAACACAAAGCTCAATGAAGAGCTGCCCTGCATTTGTGAATGAGTCGACAGGATTGTTAATTACACCATACCACTGGTAGGTTACATTATTAGGCCACAGTGAATTGTCAGTATTGGCAGCTCGGTGTTACCCCATTGGGAGAGGGGGAGACGGACACCGACAGGATTCATGGTGTTCATGACAATTATCCACAAAGTGTGCAGCTTTTGTCACTGCAGTGTATCTTTGTGGGCTTCTGGAAGAACATTTCTAGTAGAGCCCGACCGATAAAGGATTTTGAAGGCCGATACCGATACAAATATTTGTTGGTTATAAATATATATAAATTTTTTTTTTATTTCAGAAACACGCAACGAAACATTAACAGATTTCCCTAACATTAGTTATTTATAGTTTATTTGAGTTTTAACTAACATAATATGATAATGCATTTTAAAACGAAACTTGTTTCTTTTATTGTCACAACAGAACAGAGGAACATCAAAATATATTAAAGTTCTGATAAATAAAATGTATAAAAATACAAACTTAAGATATGAAACGTAAAGTCCTTTGAACAAAAACACAAAAACAACAACAACAAAATCAAAGTTACCAGTTTTAAAAGACTTGGTAAGCTTCATAAATATAACTTTGAATAGCACAAGCAATAGAACTTTTACGCACAAGCTGCGTTTGATACTTTTTCTCTATGTCTAAATGTTCACTCCTCGCAAATGTCTAACTTACATTTTACAATGCAGGGACTGTAACTAGAGATATGCTAGTTATAAATACAGTAATCATTACTTTATTTAGGCAGAATAAGTTCGTTGTGGTTTCCAAGCTCATTAATGTTAACGTTAGCGGTCTTCCACTGATAGTGGCATTAGCTAGCTTTGTGGTTAGCTAGTCTATGATGAGCCATAATTTAGCAATGGATAAAGTCATACTGCAAATTGTAAAACATACATTTTCAATATAACAGGCCAAGGAGAGATGATACGTCTCACTGCTATAACTGCCACGCTATTAAAGAAATACTTCAGTCTCATTGTCAAAAGTTAAAAGGACAGTCAGTCAACTACTGTACACTGTAACAACGTAACGTAATTACTAGCTAATTCCGCTTCACTCTCGGCTTATTTAACAGCAGCAAAACTGGACATGATAGTCACGAATTTTGTCATGCTTATTTGAGTTAAGAGAACTGATGGGGATGTTCTTTTAATTGTTATTCAAGCAATGTATGTCTCGTGACCAAATCACCATGAACACACTTCACCGATGATCTCACTCGCGGATAACTGGTTCTCTCTGCCCGACTCTGGCTGGATCAGCAGGTTGCAGGATGTGTGGCGCGTTATACACGAGTGTTGCCAACAGGGACGGTGTAGAGTGCCCTCTAGTGGACAAACTATACAACGCCAACACTCATGACATGGTTGAAGGGTGTTTCGTCCGTTTTTATTTTATTTTTGAAATATTCATTTATCGGCCATTATAAACGCCGATACCGATAGTTTGGAAAATGCCTAATATCGGCCGATAATATCGGCCTGCCGATAAATCGGTCGGGCTCTAATTTCTAGAGCCTCTTGTTATGGGAAGTCGGAAACATCTGGCCCATTTATTGAGATCGGCAAGCAGGCTGCAAGATGGGCTCATTGCGAATGTTTGTCTTGACCTGCAAATACATTAACTGTTAGGCTTTAAAAGTGAAAGCTGATAGCTTAAAATAGTTTAAAGCAGAAATTGCCACTGTGAAATGTATTTATCACCCTGGGAGCATTTAAAAAAACGCAGATATTTTTGTCTGCTTTTCAGGTGGTTGATGCGACATATTTTTTGACGCGCGCTCTGTGTCCGCTGGTGGGAGTGTGCTCACCTGTGTGTGCGCGCACGTGTCTGTGCGCGTGCATCGGGGCGGAACTCCGCCATGCGCAATACAGAGAGCGGAGGAGAATTGTAAACACGCGACTGTGTAGAGACGAACATGACAAGCTGTTGTGTAAATAAGATAACTAACATAAGGCTATTTAGTTTATTTAATAAAAGGACAATGTATGGACCTGTTCTATAGGAAATGTAACCTTAAATGACTTCTGTTGTGATCTGGTGCTATATAGAAAATAAAATTAAATAAAATTGACCTTCAAGGGGGGGTGGGGTGCCCCCCTAATATAATGGTAGGGGAAACACTGCAGTCCGTGGGTTTCTAAAGTGTTCCTGTTAGTTGATACTACTTCATATTACCCACATGTGTTTGGCTGAAACCTCTTAATTGAGCAGCTGAAAATGTGATATGTTTTAGGCCTGTAATGAATATAGGTAACACCTGGTGAGGATTTTGCAGACCAGTGTTTGTATGGACATGAAGCAGTCAGGATACTAATTATGGTGTTTTTACCATGTAGGAGGCAATGAGGGATTTACATCATCTGGTGACTGGGATGACATGTCAATCCGACATGTTTTCATCCGAAAAGTAAGTTACTTTTCCAATGACGTTTTATTATATTTATTATACATTTTGAATGATTCCTCAGTTTGGTTTTAAATATTGGGAAGTCCAAGGATGTATTGGCGTATCTGAGCAAAACCATAACTTATAAGGAACTGGATATGCTTAATATACTGAAGTGAAAATGTGGAGTTTTTCCCCCACTTTCAAAATCGATTACTGAGATTTCATTCATACAGCTGCAGGGTGACCTTCCACATCGATGAATCATTCTGGAAACCAGAGTCTTATGATGTGCGATTGCACTTCGCGATATGCATATTAAAGTGACTGATGTACAGATTTGAGTACGACGTGATTCTTTCTCATCAGTGCTAACCATGTGAAACAGTTATGAGGAACTTGATACGCGTTTCTTCTGTATTTGTTCTGTGTTAATGGCAGGGGGATTGATTTCGTAAACCCTCAAGAATTCTGACATTATTAAGCTATTAATATGTGTCCAGACCCTTGTTGATGCATTTGGCTGCAACTTTCCATTGGAATCCTGCACCTGACACCAGATACCTTCGGGTTTGCCAAGACACACCTGCCCCTGTCTTTACAGATACAACCTGTTGTGTCTTTGTCAGCAATGAAAAGAATTCTATATATCTATATCTAGATATAGATATAGATATATAGAGTTCTTTTATATACTGTAAATATGTTACTGCAGGAGAACATTATTTTTTTTAATTATGATAAAAAATTAATTGGGATGTGGTGTATGCTCCTTTGCCTCTGGGTTTATGTGAACACACCGTTCTTAAGTAAAACTAATGTTGTGCAGTTTTGCTATTCATGGGTTTCTATGCTTCTCTGCTGCCAACAGGTCTATCTTATTCTGGCATCCCAGCTCCTGATCACAGTAGCCATCGTGGCCATTTTCACTTTTGTGTGAGTCCTGTCAAACTGCCAGAATATTTCGTATCATAGCAAATAAAATATGTCTTGTCCCAAAATGTGAAAATGTTTTTTTATATTGATAATACAAGTTTTATAGCAGTCAGGGGGAGGTGGATGGTAACTGATGGGTCATAGCAATTTTCTGAATTTGTCACAATTTAACAATAAACATGTATTGTTTATGTCCTGAAATACATTTTAACACAAATTTGTGCCCTGTTCCAATTCACAGGGATCCCGTCAAAAGTTTTGTTATAAAGAATCCAGGATTTTACTGGGCTTCATAGTAAGGATTTTTTTTTCTATTTTTTAGAATGAATATTCGCTGTCTTTTTTATTTTTACGGTTTGTGTTATTAATAGTCCCCATTCATTGCTGACTGAGATCATGATTACAGGGAGGTTTGATGACACTGTACCTTTTAAAAACAGTGTCATGGTAAGATGAACATTCATAGAATTCTTTCTTTACAAACAGAAATGCCTGCTATGCCATGTTCATAAATGAGTCATAGGAACGTCCCTTTAGGTATTTGAGGCTTTTCTATCTCATCACTGGCATCCACTCTTGTCTTCACCAGTGCCGTGTACTTTGTCACTTACCTTGTCCTCGTCTGCTGTAAAGGACCGAGGTAAGCTATTGGGTTTGCCTTTCAATTAGCCAGTCTTCAGATTTCCCCACAAAGTATCAGACCTCATTAAAATTCTCTGTTACACCTCGTTCCCTAGGCGGAGGTTTCCCTGGAACATACTGCTGCTTGTCATTTTTGTAAGTATGGCTGAGGAAGGTGTTAAATGTATCTGGGTGTTCAGGGCAGGTTCTGGGTGAGATTCTGCTGAGCCCCGCCCCCCCCCCCCCCCCAGCCCAAAGCAAATTTTCTCCATTTGTTTATATTAAAATCATCTGAGTCGCACAGGGTATCTAGGTTATCAACTAGCTAGCTGATGAAAAGTAGTGAAATATTAAAACTAGTGTAAATACCTAATATCTAGGGATGGCACGGTTCAT